TAAGAATTACTTAGTGTAATCTTATATTTAAGAACAAAGAAAAACAAAAAAGAAAAAAATCAGGAAAGAAAGAGAATAGTTTTTTTTTTTTTTCCAGCATATCAGTCAATGGCTACTAGTGGACAAAGATTCATTTTTTTTTAGAAATAAGACTAATTCAAAGTGGTCAGTTCTAAATACATGCACACATGAGTGACATTGGTTGTAATAGGATGTATACACATATAAAAGAGATTATGAATTTGAAAATGGATATGTAGCCTAATTTGGAGGACAAGAAGGTGGGGTCTAATAGAATGTATTCATTGATGCAATTTTCAAATTTTGATAAGACAATTCTCAATATCATGAAGGATATGATAAAAAATATATTCAAGCATAAGCGCGACCTATAAATACATTATTAGCAAAAATATCAAAAAAGAAGAAGAAGCAAGTGTTAGTGAAGAGCAAGAACTTGTCATTAAACAGTGCTAGTGATGGTGTGATGTGATGCAGTGATTTTGGAAATCAGCATGAGAGCTCTTCAAAAAATGCAAAATATAACCCAGTAATTTTTTTCTAGGTATATATCTGAATAAACTGATTCAGTAATCTTCCTTTGAGATATACATCCAAAGGAAATTAATCCAGGCATCTTACTTCTAGCTACGGATCTAAAGTGAATGAGCTAACCCACTTGTACATTGCTCAAAGTAGCCCAGAGATATAAATGCTCATAATGTTCATTAAAATGAAATATATGTGCATATATATGCATATATAAGAGAGAAAGGGGGTCTTATTCATCTTAAGAATTCATTTGTTGATATTTTTGCCCCAAATCCTAGTTGTTTAAGATCTGTTAGGTATATTTCTCTATTGCTCTCCATATTATACCTTGAGACAGAGTATCTCACTGGACCCAGAGCTACCTTGCCCAGCCTAGTCAGTCTTGAACTCTGGGCATCTTCCTGCCTTTGTCACCAGCAGTAGAGTTTCAAATGCACACCACTAAGACTGACTGATCCATCTCCCAAGCTCCTAAACACATTTCATTTTTATCTGACAGTTACCCCACAAAAAAAGCAGTGGAAATAATCAAATAAAGCAAATGTCAAATATGAAATGAGTTTCCAAGAATTGTGTAGCATGGCTTTGTAGACTACAGTGTTGAAAATGTATTCTATACAGATTTTTGTAATTAACAATGAGAGAAAAAGAAAATAAACATAAGTATGTTATATACCTTTAATATGTTGCAAGGTGTTTTCAGTGCATAAAGCTAGACTATGAAATAATTTGACATTTTAAGATTCCTGAGAGTTCATGAATCATTTTTATGTTGTGAGCACACCCTACAAGGCACAGTTTAGACTTTCCATCTGTATTTATTTTCACACATAATCTCCTCCCACACTAAAGACATTCAAGTATTTCCCACATGGAATAGCCAAACCGTATTTATTCTAGAATAAAAGGGGAAAAATATAAATTTCATTGGACAGAATCTTATCTGATAGCATATGGACCTTTTTGATTATGTCCTTGATTAGTTATGAAAATTAAAAATCATAATAAATACCAAAAAGCTGATGGTATCCGGAATCTATGACAAGCAGCTCCCAGGAAAGAAATTGTGATGTAAATTCAGGGATATAGAGCAGAAACCCAGTGATGTAAAATAAAGCAGAACATTCATGAACATTAAAAACAAACCATATGTGCAGTTTGTCACATGAAAATCAACGTTATAGAAACGTTATAGAACCAATTGAAATTGGTTCAATTTCAATTTGAACTGTGTCTTCAGTGGTTGAGATCATCAAGGAAAAAAAAGATATATTAAGGTTTGGTGATAATTTAAGGAAAATTTATTAATCTATAATATGGTTGTATGTGCTATACATAATTATATTATATATCAGCCAGTCCTATGAATAATCTCATTACTAATAGCATTGATATTCACTTCATTAAGTGTTCCCAGTATAAATGTTATCATTAGTTTGCATCCTACTTGTTATTTCCTGATGACAGACATACAAAATCTTGATATGTATCATTAGATTCAAGTATTTATGCTTTAAAGTATACCACTATGTCAAAATTACTCTCCTTCCATGATCCTCTCCCATTTTATTGATAACATATATTATAGTACTATCATTCTATACAGTTAGATTTTTAAAGTATTTGTCAAAAACCTAATATTGCTGATATATTTTATCAGTATACTAAATTGAATTGTTTGCCCACTATGAAGTATTAACAAACATATGTGTTGACAGTCAGCTGTATGAGAAGTAACTGGATTTCTAATGTCTGGTGACTTTTATTAAATTTCTTTTCATATCAGTAATGAACATTTGTCCTTTTAATGTCTTCTGCCCATAAATATTTTAGTTGTCTTTTTCTTGCTAGTTTGTTAAGTTCTTCATGTGTTCCAGAGAATAGTCGTGTCATTTAGGATAATTTAAATATTTTCTTTTTATTTGTTATTCATTAACTTTGTTTATTATGCCTTTCTCAAGACAAGCTTTGATTTCATTTTATTCTAATTGGATATATTCAGCCTGTTTTAAGATACTAACAGAAAATTAATTTGGTGTATTGTAGGTCAATTTATTAAAACCTATATTACCAAATTAGTGTGTAATGTATGATATGTAGATTTATTTAAGTGTCGTCGTCTGTTCTGTTATTTGACTTCAAATGTTAGAGTAAACGGTTGAGTGCTCCTATGCAGTGCCCTGCTGCACTTGCACTCTGACTTCTGTTTGTTCTTCTCTCAGCCTCTATCCTGAGCTGTGCTCTGCCTCTTCAAGGACTTTGGTACTATCTTTATGCAGTTACTGTGACATCAATAAGTCTTATGTTCACATAACCTTGGAATCATGCACAGCCCCCTTACATTAAATCTGTAGTCATATTTTCTGCCCCACCCACCAGTTTCCAAATAATCACATGGAGACTTACTATGAATTATAAAAGTTTGTCCCATAGTTTAGGCTTGTTTCTAAGTAGCTCTTACAATTTAAATTAATCAATTTCAATTAATTTTCTTTCTGCCTCATGTCTTTACTACTTTTACTCTGTACTGTCCATGCTGCTTCTTCTATGTCCTAGCATTTTCCTATGATTCTGCCCTTCTTCTTCCTAGTGATCTCTCTGCCCCTAAAATTCTGCCTAGGTATTAGTCACTCAGTTTTTTGTTAAGCCAATCTGAGTGACACATATTCACAGTATACAAAAGATTATTTCATAATATTTTCCCTCTTTGTCTAATAAAAATGGTTTAAACTTTTTTTTTTTTTTTAAACAGGGTTTCTCTATGGCTTTGGAGCTTGTTCTGGAACTAGCTCTGTAGACCAGGTTGGTCTCGAACTCACAAAAAAGGTTTAAACTTAAACATAATAAAACTATAAACAAGTAGAATAATTGACAGATAAGAATTACATTCCCAATGTCTAGTACATTTGTATTAGGTATATTTGAAGAAAACATTCAATTATTTATTATATCTTGATGAATAAAAACTTTGTACATAATTTACCTTCTAATATAATTAATGAAAAGTGCAATTATAACTACCTACTCTTCAACTCCATCAAAGACCCCCTTCAACTCCATCAAAGACCCCAGATGGACATAACATTACCTGAGTAAACAGAAAGTAGATTGCAAACCACTTCCAAACTGACAGAGATATCTGACTGCCTAAATGGCACCCAAGGATTTTCTGTAACATTGGGGCATCCTAGAGGCCAATGAAGATCTGGCATACTTATCTGTGAATCAGGAATTTTTGAAGGATTGTCCTACCCTCTCTTGAAAAAGGTTGGTAGTTGCTTTCTTCTGTGTCGTGCTTGTCTAGTTTGGACAACACATTTTAAGCAGTCAGTTTCTTTCCCAAACTGCTACCCTTTGTCGTTAAATGGTATACTCCATATGGAGGTTCTTTGATGCCTATCATCCTCTCTGAAGTAGATTGGTCCTGCCAGAAGCAGAGCTATCTCATTGTCATGGAAATCTCTGTGTTATTAAAACATTTAAATGGATTATTCTGTAGATCATTGAAGTATTTCATGATTATCTGTCCATCTAAAATATAACTCTGTTTGACCTTAAACATATTACCTAACATGGATACAAGTTTGATTGTGCTTGATGACAAAATACTAACCTGTATTTCTTTATTATCCTAAATAGCTTATAATAATAACTTTTAAGAACTAGAAATTTACATTACATTGTTAAATGTGCTGCATTGGTACAATACCTTAAATGATATAAAAATGTATGTCCAGTTATGTTCTAACCAAATAAACTCTTAAATTTATCAATATATAAAAATATCTTAAATGAGTATAGAAATATATATAAAGTATAACAAAATAACCTTAAAATTGTATCAATATATAAAAATTCATACAAATGCAAAATTTTTAAGAATAATGTTTCCTATTTTAGTTTGAAAATAAGTACAATTTAAAAAAAAAAAGAAAATAAGTACAATAATCTACCCTTTCATCTTATTATTTCTATATCCCCATTTTTCTTTTCAGAACAAGATCCTGGAATCTAATAACATTTGTTCAGTGGTGCAGTACAATTCTGTATTCTGTCAATTATGGTTTAGATAAATGCCAATTGGCCAGTAGCCAGGCAGGAAGAATAGGCAGGACATCCAGATAGGAAGTCAAGGCAGGTCAATGAGAATATGAGAATTCTGGGAAGGAGGAAGCCCATTCCTCCACAGTCCTGTCCAGACACTGAAGAAGGAAGATGTGACCTACCCTGCTGAAAAAGGTACCAAGCCATGTGGCTAAAATAGATAAGAATATTGGGTTAATATACATTATAAGAGCTAATAAGAAGCCTGAGCTAATGGGCCAATCAGTTTATATCTAATGTAGATTCTCTGTGTGATTTTATTTGGGACTTAAAGTCTGTGGGAATTGGGCAGGACAGAAACCCCAACAAAAAGGCCCTCATTTTAAGGTTCAGCTTTTATTTTTTTCCTGATCATTACCAATAAGAAACTAGTAACCAACCCCTCTTAAATAATGACAAATGTCCATAACCCACTGAATAACCAAAAACCATATATACCACCTCTTCGGGATGTGGGTCTCATGTCCACTAGACTATTCACTGCTCTCTGCAGGCATCAGCATCTTTAGGAGGCCCTGGAAAAATTGGTTAAGTCCTGAAAGAATTGTCTATATTATTTGTTGTCCGGTCTCTGTGCATTGAAAAAGTGCAAAGCTTACCTGAAGACCTGGCTGAAGTATTCTGTGAGTCTGAGCCATCTTAGCACCCAGTCTCTAAGTTGTCCTTAATATAGAACTCGGAGGATACTGAAACAGAAGCATTCTGAGAGGCTGGATCATCGGGGCTATCCATTTTTATTGGTGCCTGGTTCCCTTGCTCTGAAAACATATAAACTTTAAAAGGTAACATACATATCTGCATTAATACAAATATGGAATGTACTGTGTGCACAAGTCAATTAAAGATGGTTTTTTTTGTTTGAATAGGTAAAATGCATGTGTTAACTTTATAAGTCTGTTTGGACTGTATTATCAAACTGCATAAACCTCTATCGATGGCATTTGAAAGGATGGCATATAATAATGCCATGAGGACTCAAACTTACATACCACCTGTCATATAGCCCTTTTTTTTGGCTTCCTCCCCCGTGTCTGTAGCCAAGAAATTCAGGAGATCTCTACCATCAAATCCAATTTTTATTGATATAGAAGGAATCCACGGCCTTTTATTTCCTATGGAAACAACAGCATAACCTCTCCTCCCACTGCACTATGTTGCTTAATTTCCATTTTGAAGTTAAGACAGTTTTAAAATAAATAGCACAGTTTAATTTAGTAGTTTCTGCTGTGGGAAATGATTTTGTACACTGTGAAGATTTGTCACACATATTGGCTTAATAAAACACTGATTGGCCAGGCAGAAAGTATGGGTGGGGAACCAGACTAAGAGAATTCTGGGAAGAGGAAATGCAGAGTCAGTTCCCAGCAAGACCCAGAGGAAACAAGATAAGAGTGCTTCATTGATAAAAGTTATAAAGTCAAGTGGCTAACACAGACAAGAATTATGGGTTAATTTAAGTAATAAGAGTTAGCTAATAATATGGCTGAGCTAATGGACCAAACAGTTTATAATTGTTATAAACTTCTGTGTGTTTCTTTGGGAACTGAGTGTGGAACTGGGTGGGACAGAAACTCCATTTACAAGTTTCCATAATCCAGTGTCTCTCAGTAGCTATTGTTCTTTTGTATATGATCATTAAAAATTCAAAGTTAACAAGATACTATATAGGATCCAGACTTCCTGTGTGTTTTTCATCCTTACAAGTCTTATTTTTTTACATTTTACTCTCTCTTTAAAGACTTTGTTTTATTGTTTTTAAACTATTTTTTTACTGTTTATACCCATTTTTTTTCTTAAGACTCCAGTCATTGTTAAACACATTATAATCTGTTTAAGATTTTTTCATTCTGAACCATTTCTGTCTGTATGAGGAAATCTTAAACCTGACATGTGGCTGAACTCATGTGCACTGGTGCCTGACTCCACACCCCTCAGTTCCCTGAGAGCCTAGTCTCATGCAGGCATACCTGCAGGATTCACGTTTACCACCCCAGCTCTGAGAAGTTTCTAGGTCCATGCTACTGTAGGCATTTTTACTTAGTCTCATGCCACTGACTAGGATGCCACCAGTTACTCATAAACCCATATATGTACTCAGCAGCAGGGCCTCTTAACAGAGCAGCACCTTCTGTTTCCTGTTAACACCAAGCTTACCTAAGAGATCACAGTGACCAGGAAACTGCATTTGATCCCTTGTCCTGAACAGTTTTTAGGCTTTCTCGGGTCTTAAATGGATATAGTACCTGGACATGGGTGCCATTTTTAGGGAGATTTTTCTGTCCCGCTTGCCAGCTCCAAAATAACCAAATGGGAACTTAATTATAAAATCCTGGCCTATAGCTTCAGCTTGTTCCACTACCTCTTATAAATTAATCGAACCCATTTCTATTACTTACTATGTCTGCCTTGTGGGTATTACCTTTACTCTGTACTGCTCATGCAGCTTCCTCTGAGTCCTGGTGTCTTCTGATGATTCTGCCCTTCTTCCCACCATTCTTTCTGCCTTGAAAATCCTGCCTAGCTATTGGGCATTTAGCTTTTTATTAAACGAATCAGAATGATACATATTCAGAGTGTACAAAAGATTAGTCACAACATAAATCTCTCATTTTTAAAGCCAGTTTTGAAGAATAACATTCTGATCAACTCCTCTGAGCTCAACAAACTGAATGTGACTATCATGACCTGCTCAATTCATACAGAGTGACTGGGTGAACAACAAGGCTGGCATCATTCTTCTCTGCATCTCTTCTATTCCTTGGTGCATGAAAATACATATGCTTGCTGGTTTAGCTGTTTCATTGTTGTTTTCTTTTGGTTGGTTGGTTTTCAACAGAGTGACAAAAAAACTTACTTAATGATACATGTCCTCAAGTTTTGCTGTGATTGCCATATATTGGTAGTGTGTATGTTGCTTCAAATTATCAGGCTGCCAACTTACAAGATTCTTAATGACATGGAGAACTTACTTTGAGAGGAAAGAAATGGGTTGGTTGCAGTTACATTGGTTGCCTTGTGATAAGTACACCTACCTCACCCGTGAATAAGAAACATCTCTCCTTGAGATGGAGAAGGAACATTGCAGGATGACTCAGCATCATTCTATTCTCTTCCTGGAGAGACCTGGCAATTTTTGAATGACAACCAAAGGTTGCAGGTCAGTCTATGTGCCACAAAAGCAAGAATACAGCTGTGACTCTAGTGTTTTTGTGCTCTTGTCTTACCTAGTTGTTTCCATTTGTGAGTAGAGTTTGAAAGTGATAATTGTTTAATTGTTCATATTGGCCTTTTTTAAAAAAATGTAATGTTTTATAATGTTGTCAATCTAAAAAGATAGAGGTAGCCAAGATTATAGAATGCAAAAATAAATACCCTACAAGTAATGAGTCCTCTTATCTACCAACAACTCTTCTCTATTGAAAGTAATCTTAATTGCAATGCATTTCCTTAATGGTTCTGTTAATTAGTTAGGCTGATATGATATCTTTGGATGGTTAAAATAAGGCATTAGTGCTTGCTTTTTCCTAAAAGCTTGTAATGATACAAACATGTGGAAATAATGTTTTTTCAATATTAGGCAATTTAATGAAAACAGTTATAGTTCAATTTCCTTTGAGTTGAGTTCATTTTTTCAACCATATGAAGGCTTAACACAGAGAACGTTACTGACAATCAAGTTCTATTTACATAAATATTCTCAACAAATAGGAAATGTTCCTTAAAATTTCAGCTTCCTTTGATTTTCCATTATTGATAGTGATTGGAAAAATCTATCCCCTGGCACAAAGAAATCCAATCAGACCAGATTAAAACACATCAAATGCCCGAGTTTATTAGCAGGGTCAGCACTTGGCATCTGGGAATTGGAGTCCAAGCTAGGGCAACTGCCAGGTCAGGGGCTTCCAATCATCCCTGACTTCTTAGATATAGGGGTGTTAGAGGGCTGGGGTGATATCCCCAGCTTAATATTACATTCCAGACTCTTTGGATATAGGGGTGTGACAAGAAGCTGAGGTGATATTTATGACCAAACATCCCAGAATGGATGCCAGGAACTGTTTTGACACTTCCAATCACACAGGGAAGAGGTTAAAAAAATCACAAAATCCTGGTGCAGTGGGCGCGGTGGGTGTGGTGGGCTTATGCCTGGACTCCCAATGCTTGGAAGATTCAAACAGGAGGGATACCATAAACTGAAGCCAACATAGACTGAGGAGTGAGTTCCCAGCATGCTTGGGCTACAGAATGCAATTTGTCTTCAACAAATCCACAGAAGGAAAGAAGAGAGGAAGGTGGGGAGAGAGGAAGGGATGAAAGGGGGAAGGTATGAGTAAAGGGGGAGAGAGAGGTTCATGGAAAGAAGGAAGGGAGGACAGGGTGAAGAAAGGGTGATGAGGAGAAAAGACAGGAGGAAAGAAAATAGAAGAGGGGGAGAAAGGAGAGAAGGGGAAGGCAAATTTTGCAAATATTTTTATGTTTTTTTTAAGGTCATAGTTTTTTCATAAAATTTATATTCAGTCAAGAACTGCTTATAAGTAATAGGCAATACACAATATCATCAGCACTCTTCCCTCCTTCCTTTCTTTCTCTGGTGCTAGGTGCTCAACCTAGGACCTGGCATGTGCTGGACAAAGGCTGTACCTCTGACCTACTTCTCAGCCCTAGTACTATTTTGCTTCTCTTTAAGGCTGAAGAATAATGTGGTATCCTTTACTTAAGGACCTAATGGACTACTGAGAAACACACCAGTGCTCTGTATTTCCTTGCCTATTCAGACTGTGCAGATATTGTTGGAGTACTCTCCTCTCTTGGCAGCCCCTGCCCTTTCTGAAGGGACCCATTCTCAGAGACTATCCACAACTATGCACAGCCTTGTGTCTTTTTCTGCAGCTCCATTCTCTCTGTCCTTCAGTTTTCTCTTTCACTCAAACTGAGATCTTAAATATACATCACAACTGTATAGATAAATCCCTTCATTCCTTAATCAAATTACTTTATTATTTCTTCATTGGTGTATCAATTATGAATTTTCCTTTCACTGGATATTCCCAAATTTGGGGCATTATAAAAAGATTTAATCTTCCAAAAGTGGAAATTTAATACCAAGTATGAAAGGCAGCTCCCAAATTTTTGCACCCATCTTTTATTTCTCTGATTTATTTTTTGATAGCAAATCTGTGCTGATCTCAGGGCGCTCAAGACTCAAAGCTGATGGGCTCTTTCTCAGGTGTGATTTTTGTTCTAGAAACAGGATAGCAATCATCAGTATTACTGTGTGGAGGTCTGAACTCCAAGGCTACTTTTGATAAAGGATTGCTTTTAGACAAAGAAGTCATTCTGCAATAGACTTTAAAAAAAATCATAAGCACATTCCGGTTGGTCTCACACTAACTTTACAGAAACACTTTAACCCAAAAGCACCCAAAGTAAGGGCCATGAGCCCACAGTATCAGAGCCCATTGGACTGATGGATAAGTTTTGCCCACTAGTTCCTTGGTATATGATCGTGAAGGGGAATTCCTAGAAAGAAGCTTTGACAGAAAAGACTGAGTGACTGGTTAGAGCTTCAATGATGCATAGACATGGGGATGTTCCAAATCCAAAACCAAATTACCTAGGGATATGCTGAGCGTTTTAGCAGCTATTTGTATGTGAACTAACATTTTTGTGACCACTAGGTAATTCCTTTGAAATGTATGAACAGTCCTTTAATTCCTACCAAGCAAATAGCTAAGAGCGTTGTCAGATAGCATCTGAGGCCAGTCGTAGAGTTTCCCCCACTTTACTGTAAACTATCTACCCAGTAGACCCCCCAGTGCACTGGGAAATTTTCATGGCTTTCTATATTCTAGTACTATCCAAAGTTCCTGAAATTGCTACCTTGCTGAAACTTGGTATTTTGGAGAAAAAAAAAATCCATGCTTCCAGGCCACATTCGTTCATGGTGAGAACTGTTATCTCCCTCTACGAAGAAATGCTTGTTGCCCTCATAGCAGCCCTATCAGTTACGGTGATGAAGGCTGAAGTTTTCAGGGTCGCATATGCAGTGACATCATCTTTCAACCATTGCATTACACAATCTTTGGTTTCTTCCCTCAGGTGTCATAGTTAGTAGTGTGTCAGGAGGGTAGACATGGAGATTATAACATGAAATAAACAGGTAGCTGAGGAAGGACCCGAAACCCTCCCAACCTGAGCTATACATACCAAACCAGTCCGCGTGTGAGAACATCACAATATCTCAGGAGGGACCTATTATGTAAACAACCTACTTGATCACTAGTATCAAGGCTAAAAAATGTAAAGTTTGTTCTCCTTTCAAGCTTATTAGCCTTTCTATACCCAGGGATGCCTTTCTTTTTCCATTCATACCACTCTCCTTGTGTCCCTGATCCAATTATTTGTTCTGGCACATAAGAACCTAGAAATTTCAGCTGTTGCTTTCCAAACTCTGAACCATGGCTCTCACAGCAGGTGTGAAGCTGGCACACAGCATGATTGATTTCATCAATTCCGGCAAGGTTTTCTGGCGATGCTGCTGATGGAGACCCGGAGACACCCTTGAGGAACCATCGTTTCCTGACTACCACAGGGAAAATTACCTGGAATGTCTAAAATCGGACGTTTGGAACTTGTCGTAAAATGTTATGGTGTCTGAGCATAATTATTGCAAGTATGTCTCAGATGCTACCTCTAAAGAATGGATTCCACGTGATCCTGATGTATATTCAAGGTTAAGAGTGTGCGGTGAGAAAATAAGTCGGATTGAGCGCAACAGTTTCCCCTGTAGGAAGAGGATTATTTTCTTGAAAACTACTAAGAAAGGGAAGCAGAACTCATCTGAAGCTGCTTCTACCTATCATGCCCCTCCAAGAAACAGTGCAAGAAGAAAAATCAATGAGGTACATTATCCAGCATTATCTAGGTCAAAACCATATATCAAAACCCCAGGTACTCTGTAGAATACAGCTTAATAAGCAACTTTCAACAATATTGAAACTTTTCCAGCTGGGACTCTGGTGTAAATATAACACCATGTTCACTTTTGATAAAGACATGAATATGAGTCACAACATAAACCTTAGTCCTAGGCTTGCATCTTGAACTGATGTGGGATAGGAATGCAGGCGTATTCATTGTGTTATTATTCTGAAATTAATAGTAAACATTGCCTAGCATTGAGATGTTATTTCTAGAATCAGACACCTTACCCACTATGCCACATGGCCCTTCAAAATGTTATTTCCAAAGCCAAGAGAAGTCAGAAGTATGACTTTGGGGTGCAGAAAGAGTTATTATATTATTAGTGTTGGGAGATCAGCAGCCTCTCCCATCTGTCTTCCAGTCTGCAAGGAGCCCGTCATCTTTGGTCTTCTCTGTGTGTATGATTGTTAGATGTTTTCCATCAGAATGAGCACCAGGTCTTTAAGTTGCTTTGTTCCACTTACTAGTCCGCACAGTTCTAAAGCTCCTCAAATGCCACAAGTTCCCTACATCCCATCTCTCAGCTTCCCCACGGAATGTGTAAGTGACAAGAAGCTGGGAAATACAGATGGCATAATTATATATTTTGTAGTTGATTAATCAGTACAAAACATTAATCACATTTTGTATAACAATACATAATCAAATTCTTTATAGTTGAAATTAAGTTTCTTTTTGATAGGGAATGCATTCCCCTAGGGTATTGATGGGGGTTCAGCATCTGTTTGGCTCCCATTCCACATCTGCATTTGACTTTCATCTGCTGCAGGGCTTAGTAACATGGAGCTTAAAGGTTGCTTTATGACTGTACTTGTACTTGATAATACAGGAATTTGTTGAGAAGGAAATAATTACACAAGTTAGATGCTCCACGTCTACATTTTCCAGGCTTTAACTTGTATATTTAATGAAAAGTATTAAATTTTGTTTTCCCAAGTGTAAACCCACTGAAATAAAAAAAATCAGATATTCACTTTTACTTCTGAACTATTAAAATAAATACTTCATCTTGCAATTTGATTTATATAATTATGAAGCAAAGCTCTGACATATAGTACATAAATGTTTCTTAGTAAAATGACTGTCTTTAACATTTTAAAATATTTATGTATAGATACAAATTATTTTGAGTATATAAT